TCCTGAGATTTTGAACCCTCATCATAAGGGAAAGACACTCCCATTTGGGCATCAAAAGCCTCAGGATCTGTTGTCTTTTCCCCTGAACCCTGATTGAAGCCGGACCTGAAGGCCTTGGCGCTAGATAAGTGCACCAAACTGGTGTAACGACCTTGCATCTGCCTCTCTGCAATGATGCAGGTGCTAAGGGCATTATTCAAACGCTGGACTTCAGCCTCCAGCGACTCAACTTTGGCATCAGAAGCAGCCAAACGCTTCTTGTAAACATTCCGAGCCTTGTATACAATTTGTGCATTGGCAATGGCATGGGATGCCTTCTTCTCAGAATTACTAAGGTCTTTCTCGAGCTTCTTAAGGGAAAGAGACTGAGCCTCAGCAGTAGCACAGAGGGCCATAGTATGATACAAGCCCTGCATTATGAGATAACAACAATGTAAGAAAGTGTGTAAGGCAATTATGACAATGGAAATGAAGGACGGAGCAAACCTCTATGGCTCGAACAGGGGCAGATGGGAGTAGCTGTTCCAACCCCATTCTGCCGATAATTTCTTCATCCTTGGAGAGCCACATTCCCCGAGCAACGGCCAGTGCTACAGATGGGTTAGTGATCATAGAATCACCAACATAGAGGATGGACTTGTCAGCCCTCGAGAAGGAAGGAGTCCAAGGTGCTCCAGCCTCAGCAAGGACGTTAGCGCTGACCTCATCCTCAGGGTTAACCTTTTCGGTTTTCTTCCCTTTGTTTTTTGGGTTGGAAGCACCCTTGGATTTCGCGGTTGAAGAGGAGTTCAGCTTTGCCCTTTTGTTCAAAGGGACTTCGTCAATCTCCTTTTCATGCTCATTTGTACGCAATATAGTTAACGGAGCATTCCCTGCATCTTTGCTCTTCAAGGCTTCAGCCCTCTATTTTTCTGCTCAGTCATGGGGAAACTATCAAATGATGGAAGTGGGAGGTCCATGAGATCAGCGACTACAGCTCTGGAAGCAATTGCTTTAAGACTCACAGAAGTGAGTAAGCTCTCGATCGAGGGAGGGTTGCTCCAGACCTGCTTTTCTTGGAAGGAAAGCCTCTTCTTGGCAGCCGAAGAAGGAAATGTTGCTGAAAAAATACTAAGAAACTCGTAAATATATAGGATAATAAGACTCGACATGGGAAACAGCCCGAGCACTCTTCATGAAGAAAGGGGGGATGTTCTATACCTAAGTTCCCGAACTTGTGAGGGATTGGCAGTTTGTTCGATTGGGGCACGGCCTATCTCCCTTTAACAATTATCATTCTCTCTTTCCACTTCTTCTCAGAAGTAGGAAGGTCTGTACATATCCTTTGGTGCAAGGGGGAAGTGAAAAAGAAACGACAAGGTTCGGTTCCATGCTTAGAAATAGAATAAGTAATTAGCAAGTCAGCCAGAATTAGGTCAAGACTCTCCTGCCACCGACGAATGAGGAGTGCTGAGATTACTCGAAGGAAGTTAGGGTTTACTTGCAGGGGTGCAATCCCCAATTTGTTGAAGACTAAATGATAGAAGGGATGAAGGGGGAACCTAAGAGCGTTGAGATGCCCAACAGAGAGGAGCAACTCGTCTTCTCCGACGCCCTCGCCGGCGCAAAAATCAGCGCCTTTGGGGTACTCTGCAATTTCTATCCCTTCGGGAATCTCGAATTCTTCCATTACGAATTCAATGGAGAACGGGATGCGTCGAATAGATAGGATTATATTCCTTTCTTCCTTAGTGAGGATATTCTCCGACCCAGAGGTGGATGTTTCAGCCTGGATCGGGGAAGCACCTGGCTGATTAGCCGAGTCACTTACAGGTTTAGGAAAGTTCGAAACACTAGGTGGGGGAACCCTAATGAGATAAGGGGAAGATAAGGGAGTGGACTCGGAATCTACAATATCTATACGTTCAGAAAGAGTCGAAGTACTCATAATGCAAGATCGAAGAGAAAAAGATGAAGAACTAACCTGATAAGACGACGGAGTGAAGAATGCAAGAAACGTAGTGAGAGTAAAAGTAACCCTTATAGAATCTCTTAAGGCAGAATAACAATGGGCAATCTTCAAAACGTCTTTCGGTAAAAAAGACAACCGTGCAACTTCAATTCCCTTTTTAATAGGAGCCGCAATCCAATTAAAGAGGGAATTGGGGGCAAAGTGTGGAGGGAAAAATCTCCGTCCAATAAGAGCAATCCACATCATCATAAATATAACTTTATCTTCGATAAAGGTCAAAGCCCATCTCGTCAGAAGCCCAAGTTGAGTTGGTCATTAGCCCAAAACTCCTGTTATCTAACTACGAGCTTTACTAAAGCTCGAATCAAGACACCAACAGTCATGTGTACCAAGTTAGATGCGGCCCAAATCCATTTAAAGAAGGAGCCGGTCCTACAAGGAAAAGGATTCATCAAAAGAAGTAAGTTCTGTGTAAGGAAAATCCGTAAAGGAAGAATTATAAAGAGGAAATAATTATATTTGTAAAGAAATTGATATATAGAAAGAATTAGAGGACAAGCAACGCGAGTCCTACCATAATTCTTCTAACTTTTGTATATAAATAAAGGCCCAGACCTTCAATAAAGGGATCCAAGCAATTCTACGTTTCTCTATACACTGTTCTTATTTATTTTTACTGTTCTTGAGTGTGTTGTATTATTTTTCTCAATTGTTATTGGTTGAACAGAATTTTGCACCTACAATAACAAATAATAATAAAAAAATCACACTCGAGCAAAAAAACGTTTGGATGCACGCACAATTGGCATTTTAGTTATTTTATTTTAAAAATTAGGTTTGCAAACAAAAATTGGATTTTTAACTTTAATTTAAAGATATCAAATGATAAACTTAATTTGAATTAGTTTAATAAAATGAAGTTAATTAATCCTAGACAATATTAGGTTAAAATTGGTTCTATTACTTAAAACCAAATCTTTTGAATAATTACAATGTTGATTCTTAATAATTCTGATTAATTTGGATGAATTTGAACTGTTTTGACATACTTAGAGATGGCAACGGGTTAGGCGGGTGTACCCTCCCCCGCCCTTATCCTCGCCCAAAACCGCAAAAACGGGGGGACTTTTCACCATAACCCCGCCTCCGTTTAACATTTTTACCCTCGTGGGTACCCGCCACGCCCTGTTTAAGACTATAATTTATTTATTGTTGAAATAGATTTGTTTTTTTTTTTTTTTTTTTTTTTCATTGCGACTTTTCCTTCCAATCAAATTCATTTGTTACTTTAATATTCTTATACAGGTAAAATAATAATGCTCATGTGGTTGCATCTTTTGATACAAATTATGCGGCCATTCATTACACCTACCTTACAACCCTCTATTATATTATATATATATATATATATATATATATATATATATATAGACACACAGAGATAAAGCATATATAGACACACGGAAAGGAGAGAGTGAAGTAGATAGGAATCATATGGATATGCCAGGATATATATATAGTACATCTATATGTATATATATGTAATAGATTGGAATTATATAACATCTACACCCACACAAATGACTAATTAATAGATCTATCATTTGTAAAACTTCATAAGCAAACTGAAATCCAACAATAGTGAAAAGAACGAGATCAAAATTCAATTACCCATGAAAAATGAAGAAAAAAAATCTCATTAATAGAGGTTGGAGAGAGAGAAAGAAAGAAAGAACTCAAATACCATGAAAGAAGAAGAAAAAAAATAAGTAATATAGAAGAGGGAAAAGGAGATAATTGATTCGTAAGCAGTATGAGAACAAGGCTTTCAATTTCAATTTCTTATTTTGCAGCGTAATGCTCTCTATAAGTCTGAAGAGTGAAGACTAGCCTCTGAAAGACTAAGAAGAACCTAGTGGTGAGAAGAATTATGTGAATGAGAGTTAAGAAACCTAGGGTTTTTAATAGGAAATATATATATTAATGAAATAAGGGTATTTAAGTAATTTGTTTATTTAAACGGTTCCCCGCCCTCGCACCAAACTCGCACAGATTTTTATTACATCAAACCAAAATCGGACAGGGCAAGGCGGGTCAAATTGCCATCCCTAGACATACTCTATATATATTATGTATAGCCAGTATAAGTTGTCTTATTGTTATTATTATTATTTTTATCATTTGCGGATTTTTCAAGACAATCAATTGGGGTCGGTCTCTCAAGCCAACTTGATTGGATTGAAAATAAAAATAAAAAAAAATAATTTTACGTTTTGTGTTTGGTTTTAAATTTAAATTTAAATAATAATAGTAAAAATATAATTTAATTTTTAAAGAATTCTACACAAAAATGTATTCTTATATTTAATTTTTTAACAATAATTTTATTTTCATATTATTATTTAATTCAATAAATATATAAAACAATTATCTTTTAGATTTTATATAATATTATTAATTTCAATAAATATATATAAAAAACTATACAAACACTTTCACTCATGGTCATTATTCTATAAAACTTAAATTACCTATTTATTATGAATTTTTTTAATAAAGAAATCTAATTACACAACGAAATATATAAAGAAATAAATAATTTAGTCTCTTTAATTAGGCAAGAAAATATATAAAATAAATTCAGACGTCTTAGTATGGATAAAAAAAAAAATTCAATAATTATATTCATTGACTTGTTAAATATTAGTCATTACTGAAATAATTATTAGTGAATTGTAATATATAAAAAAAATAGTTTTGAGTTTGATATTGTTGTAGGAATTTAAAAGCACATTCATAGATCGTTTTAGAGTTTTGTTAATTATATTTTACAGAATAATATTCTAATTTATTATTATAAATATTTTTTAAATTGTTATCATTATTTAATTTTATAATCTGTTTATCTTAATTAATACTTTATATGAGTTTAATTATTTTAATAAATTTATTTTAATTATCATTTGAAAAAATAATTATGTAATTTCGTAAACTGTGCTAGCCCAATCTATAAGTATTTATTTTATAGGCCCAATCCATGTACGACTTGCTACGAAATTTCCTCGATAGTGGTCGGAGGGACAGTTGGACAGCGACTAGACAACACTCACTCTCCTCTTTTCCTACACGAACAACTTTGCCGATCGGAAAATCAAATCATTCATCTTCTTCCAATTCCCCGATACAATCAAACCCTAAAAAAAAAAAAAAAAAATGACACCATCTTCATCCAGCGGTGATGAAACCGCCCCGTTCTTCGGCTTCCTCGGCGCTGCAGCTGCCCTCGTTTTCTCCTGTAAGCAAAACCCTAACCCAAATGTACATCTCAATTGGATTATTTCTGTTTGGTTTCCTGAAAGTGTTGGAAATTAAAAGTGTATCCAAATTTTGAATCTTTTGAGGCTTAAAATGTGGATTGGTTGTTGTAGGTATGGGAGCTGCATATGGGACGGCAAAGAGCGGTGTGGGTGTGGCGTCAATGGGGGTTATGAGGCCGGAGCTTGTGATGAAGTCGATTGTGCCGGTTGTTATGGCGGGTGTGTTGGGTATTTATGGTTTGATTATTGCTGTTATTATCAGCACAGGGATTAACCCTAAGGCCAAATCCTATTACCTTTTCGATGGTTATGCCCACCTCTCGTCCGGTCTCTCTTGCGGTCTAGCCGGGCTTTCGGCTGGAATGGCTATTGGAATCGTTGGTGATGCTGGTGTTAGGTAGTGTCCACCTACATATATCCTCCTTTTGCTTATTTCTGTTTTAATTATAATCTATTTGAAATCCAAAGTCTCAGTTTTTTTCATTGAAAATGAAAATTGAGAAGTGTTGGATGTTAAATGAAGCTGTGTGTGTGTGTGATTTGCATTTTAATTTGCTTGGCATATTATCTATAAGTTGCATACTCAATAAATTAAGTATATAAGTGTTCACTTGTATCTTGTATCAATAGTGTATTTAGCTTTGCATTCTCAAGCACATGTTTTGAACAAATGTGACTTTTAATACTCAATGTGATTGGAAATTGCCAAAGTTACATCACAGAGGACTAACAAAGCCTAAAAGGATTTCACAGGCATGGAATGAACAGAGAGTATGCATAACTCAGGATAGAAAATCAGGTGTCCTTCATTTTGGAGAACTGTGATATTTGTTTAATGAATTTAAAACACAAGTTCTAAGATGATTCTAAGATTTTTTCCTAGGACAGAGGAGAAAAGAAAAGCAAAAAAAAATCTACAATAAATTAATAAAGCAGGATAAGGGTTACCATATGATATGAAGTCTTAATCTTTTTGGCTTGTTCCTCTTCGGCCAACTGATTTTGACTTCTTCATCCTCAAGAGGTGAGGAATAGTGCATTTAGGAAAGACTGATGAGGTAGAAGCTGCAAACAAAAAGAAGAAAAAAACAAGATGAGTTTGGCCAAAGAGGAAAAATGAGTTTGGCCAAAGAGGAACAAACCAAAAAGATTAATACTTCAGATCATGAGGTAACCCTAGCCCTGCTTTATTAGTTTGTTGTAGTTCGTTTCTTCCTCTGTCCTAGGACAAAAGTTTAGAATCGTCATAGAATTTGTGTTGGAAAACTTTAAACCAATAACATAATTCTCCAAAATGAAGGATAACTGATTTTCTATCCTGAGTTATGCATCTAAATTTTTGACTCTGTTAATTCCATTCCTGTGAATTCCTTTTAGGCTTTTTTAATCCTCTGTGATGTAACTTCGTGGGGAGTAGATTGAAGCTGTGTTTGTGTTATTTGCTATGTTACATGGACTCGGGTACGGGTGTCGGACACGGCTATGTATTCATGTGTCGGATGTGTCAAATCTCCAAACAGAAGGACACATGGACACGGCTAAATATTCATTTTATTAATTTTATCTAATATAATGTTTAATATAGGCATTTAACTCTTTTTCAAGTAATAATATAATATAATTGAATGATTAGATATGTTTTTTAAGTACATGTCTAACCAACAGTGTCGGACACATATCTCATACCCATGTCCGAGGGATATGTATGTGTCCGACACGGGTACTTTATTACTTTTGAAGAGTCCATGTAGCTGAGGTTATTTGCTTGTTGTGTTACCAGGCTAATTAAAGGATTTTCATTCCATTTTGCTTGGCATATTATCTATAAGTTGCATCCCCAGTAAAATAAGTGTTGACTTGTATCTACAGTGTATTTCGCTTTGCATTCTCAAGCACATGATTTGAACAAATGTGTCCTTTAATACTCAAGTGTGTCCTTCACATTTTAGACAGCCTGACAGACGGTAGGAGAAAGTATAATATATTGGTTCTGAGAGTTATGTACTAGCTTATTTGGGTCCAGAAGGTCTCTGCTTTTCCCTCCGAACTTTGGATCTCCATAGATTTTAAATGGAGAACTGGAAAATTAATATTAGTGCATATTGAGTTCTTTGATTTTTTGTTATATTCTTTGCAATTAAGAATTCAACAATAGACAATATATGTAGTTAAAATGTATTGGTTCATGGGGACTAAATTGCTTGATTAAAAGGTGGTGTTCGAGAATTAACGATTTATGAATATTTGCATGTGTAATTCAGTTATTTTGCACATATGTAAGGAGTGACGTAGAATAAATTCATCTCTTGGAGTGTATTCTTGCCGACAAACACAGCCCTTATAAGTTTTGGAGCAATAAGAGCCTATACATAGTTCTATATGATGGCATGGTCATGAATCTTATTGCAATACAATGCCATGTAGCTTTGCTCTTGAATAGATGTTCATATTGTGCATCACTTATTTATTTATTTATTATTTTTTACGATGTAAATTCAATGTATTCTACCAGGGCTTTTTGTTATGGGTATTGCATAGAGTCTCAATAAGTACAACATATTGAGACTAAGAAGTGCAATAGTTGATCATAGGCTAGTTCCAATGAAACAAGGAAGCTATCCTTAACTCACAACGGCATTATTACAAGTAAAGGACTAGATATTAGTTTTGCATTTATCTTATACATGACACTTAATTTTAGTCTCATGTGTACAGTTTAATGGGTATTAGTAGTTTGAAAGCACTGTCTTACCTTAACACTGCAAACAAACGTCGCATATGGATTTTCTTCCTTGGTTTAGGTTAATTGTATCTGTGCATAATATAGCTTTATATTACATTCCAAGAATGGTTTATGCTTGAGTCTCATAAATTCTCTGTTTTTTTATTTTCCGTGCCCTCTTGTTTGATTTATTTGCACCCTTTCATTGAAATCTGTTAAAATGATGAGCAGCTTTGGTTCGATCAATGTTCATATGGAATATAGTGCTGGCTATTGCCATATTAGATAAATTTATGTTTGTTTCTTAAGTTTGATTCTGTCTCTGTAGAGCCAATGCACAACAACCAAAGCTTTTCGTTGGAATGATTCTCATTCTCATCTTTGCGGAGGCATTGGCTTTGTATGGCCTCATTGTTGGCATCATCCTCTCTTCCCGTGCTGGACAATCCAGAGCCGACTAAAGATAAGAGCATCTTCCTGCTTTTTTTCTCAAGTTAGCATTGCTACTTAAGAAGGTGCATTTCTTCTCTTCAGTAGTCCTGCAAGTAATTCCTTGATTTAATCATTAAGTAATTCTATGCTGATTGTAATATTGTGAGCAACTTTTCTCGCTCAAATAAAGCTTTTCTAGAAAGCTGGTTTTTGTTCATTTGCCTATTGCTGTATTTTGTACAAGTCACATAGAATCCATCTTATGAAACCCATATTGTAGGATTATTCTTTGTACTATTGTTCTCCATGTCTAAACCCTAATTAATATTAATAGTGTTTTTCTTGGAAATTCTTGCCACTTATATTGGTTTTACTTGAAAAGTCGTCCTTTTTTTTCTTTAAATTTGCATCTCTAAGCAGAATCTGAGCCTATATATGAAAGGAATTTGTAATCCTTGAGATCTGATGTTTAATGTTTGCATTGGGTGAAATGTGAGTCTTTTATGTAAGGTTGCGAACGGCTGTGAAAACAACATTCCGGAATAGTATTTGAACACCAGATTGGGATATTTGTGAATAATAATAATAATATATTTTTTTTGGATAAATGATATTTGTGAATAATAATAATAATAATTTTTTCCCCGTTCAATATGATAATCATATGATAATCGGACTCATTAAAATTGGTGGTGTGACTATGATGGGACTCTGGTATATTTGATAATGATGATGCTGATAGTTCTACCACGGTGGCGGTGGGGTAAAATACTGGTGGTGTGAAGGTAGCAGTAGTCACATAGTGGTGGTGACTCTGGTTTTAGTGTGGGCATTAGCTATATGTAGTCACGGGTTCGAATAACGGAAACTTGCTCCGGGACCATGGCCGGATTCTGCTCGATCACTGAGATTGAGGAATACTCAATCCACCAACGTCGAGACTCTCGGTGCAATATCCGGCAATAATTGACGAGGAGGATGTTGACGAAGAGCATACCAAAGAGGTAGATATTATGGCTGGGATGTGTTTCTGGCAACTCTATAAGCTTTACCATCAACAACACAAGGAAACAGATAGCAGCGGATGCAGAGTTCATGGCCAAACAGAAGCATGTTTGGTAATGTTTGTTACGATGCTATGATTTGAATAATATCAAACCGGTTCCGAAAAAGAAGCTAATACCGGAAGTACCAAGTATTTGTTGTCTGTATGTACTGTAGCAATTAAAAATAATTAGAAAAAACCCTCTTAAATGACCTTTTAAACTAGTCATTTTATTTTTTAAACTTGCAAAAAAATTTTATCAAACATGTTTTTATATTTTTGCTTCCAAAAATTTTGTAACAAATATTACGTTACAAAACATGCTTTGATTACACTATTGAATAGCTCCACAATGAAAATGTTGCTTCAGTCAAAATAAAAATAAAAATACGAAGCAAAAGTGGTTGTCAAATTGGGTCTAAGGTTATAATTTTCCGTAAGAACAAAGCGAGTGTATTAGAGTGTTCCTTCTCAACGTAGATTAGCTCTACGATACTTTGGGCACCGTATCTCAAGGTCTCCTAATTATTAGAGCATTCATCAGGTGGACCCATCACCACATCAAAGGAGACTTAGATAGAGATAAGGTACCCCAGTATTCTAAAGTAGGGAGATCCCTAACCATTTGAGAATTTGGGAGTGGAGTGCAGAGTTCAATCATCTGAAAAAAGAGAGACAATGGATGATCGAGGCCAACCTAATATTGACTATGTGGAGAAAATTTCAGGATTTCAAATAAACATATATATGTGTATATATATATAAGAAACAATTTTTTTTTTTTTTCATGGATAAAGAATTAAACTTGTTCAGAGACCATTGTTGAATCGGACCCAATCAATCTTGGGCAGGCACATAACTCTACCAATATATATAATTGAACCGTGCTCTTCAAGCCCACTATTTCAACAAAAAAATTGGTGGGCTTTTTAATGCATCCCATCCATGGATGATCCAGACATAGTAGGCCCATAGCCATATACTACTTTGGACGACGGTAATTCTATTTTGGAATTAATATTTGATTATATGGATGTATTCTTGACAAATTAATCAGATGCCAAATAATTCCAATATTCTCAAAAAAAATAAAAATACATAAATAAATATATTTAAAAAAAAGCAATTTTTTTTTTTTTTTCTTCTTTTGTGAGTGAAGGATTAAACCTGCTCAGTTCTTGCTCGGCCACCGGGGTTGAGGAAGATTCAATCACCCTACTCCGAGATGATGATTCGGACATTTTTCGATAACAAGCAAAAACCACGACGACAACAACGGTGAGGAGAAGAACAGTGTCGAGCCATACATCCATTAATGCTTTGACATGCTGGTTTGGATGTCCTTGTGCCCAATAAAATTCAAGATTACATAGAAGAAAGAGAGGCATATATATTTTTGTTTTTTTTTTTCAGTGTCGAGCCATACCTGCTTTAATTTCTTGCAAGGCAAGTTTACTATTCACGAGGAAGAAGAAGAACCAAAAGAAAACATGGGTTTAGGGTTTGAAGCAAAACACAGGAACTATAAATTATGCTTCTAGTTACCAAAAATATAAGATAAATAAAAAAATATTTATTTTTGAAAAGCTTGTTTATTGTGCTAACTTTAGCCATCTGAAAATCTTGAATTAGAAAACTAACATGATTTTAATTCTAATGACTGAATTGACCTCACTAGATTGAGGTGGGATTTTAAGTCATACATAGGGGGGAGCAACATAAGTGCGAGAGTGGGTAGGCTCTAAAACAACATAAGTCAGAGAGAGGGAGCAACAGTAGAATTGTGCGTGAAACTTGAGAACAAGAATATGCGCCGAAAGTAAGAGCATATAAGTCAAATGTTATTAATTCTCGTGCGTAATACTTAAGAGCAAGAAAATGCGCGGAACGTCAGAGCATATAAGTCAAATGTTGTTGGAGTCTAGAATAAAAAATTGTGGTCACAATTTTTTTTTTCCCAGCAGAGGAAATTTTTATCTTTTGGCTACGAGAGACGGACCCAGAAATTCTTGTGAGGGGGCGATTTTTAATAACAATAAGATAAAAAATTGAAACCATTCTAATTAGTAAAAACAAATTAAACATTCATTTATAATTCCTATGGATATATAATTCAGTTTCGATTTTCTCTCATAAAATAGTTTTCAGATATAATTTTATTAGTTCTCAAAAAATAATTTATTATTAAAAAAAAAAAAAAAAAAAGGTGTGGCAATGTTACTCAAGCATGCTTTAAGTACTACTCACTTTATGCTCGTTGGTTCGAATCTCCTTCTCTATCCCCACTAACTACTAACTATTAATTCTTTAACTATTGTGAGGTCAATAAATAAATAAATAATAATTAAAATAGAATCTTGTGCAATTAAAATCGAAAATACAAAACAATATATGGAGAATATTGCGGTAACCATGCAACATTGATTTATACAATAATGCAACATATTACTTCAAAAATGTAACACTTTATTAACATTTTATATAGAGTTGTAACGTTATAATACTATCCAATCAAGAATGCAATATATTTTTTAATTGTTGTGTTTTTAATTTAATGGTGCTGCACACTCAATTTAATTATACAAAAAAGTATTGAATATTATTAGATTATATATTACTATTGTATCACTCATCAACCCACATGCCTTATATAACTTTCATGTATAAATAGCCTCCTAATGTACTTATTCAATATTCAACACAATATACATTTTTCTATAAAAAATTAAAATAGAACAAATTTAAAATAAATTTTGTAAGCTAGCTATTCGGGGCACTCCAGTCTATATTTTTTTAAGAAAAATAATTAAAGCTTGAACAAATTAAAAATATATTTTATAATTTTTTTAAAAATATAGTCAAGTATTTAACAATCATAATAAAAAAATGTTGTAAAAGTTTAAAATTATCATAATAAATGCAGAAAAAAGAAAAACTATAACTAATAAAAATTTATTAATCTATATTTTTTTATTAATAATCGGAACAAGTTTGGACTCCTAAACCTAAGCCCGTTTCCAACCCTAATGTTTTACGGGCCCAAAACTTTTATATTCTGAAATGCTGACTATTGGGTCATTGCATGGGCTGACAATCAAGCTTCAATGTTTCAGATGAACTACTACTACCTTACCTAACTCACTCTGAACTTTATCCGGAAAAGTAAAATTTGAGCAGACGCATTCAAACGGCAAAACTCCGTGAACGAAAAATGAGAAAATATAAACAACAGAAGAAACGGCTTCGAAAACTGAGTTCCAAGCAGAGAGATATGTCCCGAACAAGTTCGGCGAGCGAACTGGTAAGAGCCCAGCTTGAAAATCGGGCGGCCCCGCCGTCCGAATTGTAGTATGGAGAAGCGTTTGACCCGATAACGGATCCCGAATGCGAAAGCGGAAATAGAAACTACGTCTCTAGAGAGTACAATACATCTCTAAGACGCTAAAGCGACCTTCCACGAGCAGGCTCTACTCTTGGGACTTTACCTGTACGTGGGATTTGGCTACTGTTTGGAATTTTTGGGATTTCCGGTGATGGTTGGTTGATGATGGGGGTTTAAAATAATATACTGATGGTGCACATGGAGCTGTCTAGATGGTAAAAAAAGCTGGTTGAACATTATTTTACACGCATCATATTTATTTCTAAAGAGAAACAACCCATAATTATCATGTCTATACTAAGTCTCAAGTTTGATACAAAATTGTAGGTAAACCCATAATTATCATGTCTATACTAAGTCTTAAGTTTGATACAAAATTGTAGGTAAAATCCTAATTATAAATGTTTTTCTCATTATGACTCTTTGCCCGTACGTTCACACATTCCGGCGTGCATGTGGGCATTGTATGCTAAAAAATGAAGTTTGAAAATTCTTAATTTTACATTATAATTTCTATATTTTCTTTAGTTTGAGTTCCATCACTATTAATGGGTGGCTCTGCGATTGATCAGGCATCTCAGTTAAATTCAGCCTTATGGTTCTCCATTATCTGCATATGGCCTTATTTTCCTAGGTGCTCATTATTATTCCACTAGAAATGAATTTCTACACTTTAATGTTGGTTAGAAAGCTTAGTTTTTATCAGCTAACTCACAACATGGAAGACACTTCTCTGAATCACTGTGACTAGGGCTAGGGTTTTTTCTCCTGAAACTTGAGGAAGATCGAGCTCGGGACGGAGGCTACATTCAAATCAGTCAATCCTATGACTTTCAAATCCTGTAAGTCTACATCACCCATGCTTCATTTTATATACGACACACTGATTCATCACAGAATCAATCATAATACACCAACCATTGTTCGTTTTTTCGAACCCTAATCAATAGCAAACCACTCAAATTTCACCAAGAACCAAGCTCTCACGATCTCCTACCTCACAAAGTCATGTGAGTTGTCTTTTAATTCTGCTATCTCAGCTTCTAAAGAAGCTCAACATTGAGAGCGCAGAGGAATCGAACTCGGTTCTTGAGCTCCTAAGGTCCCATGGATTCACTGAAAATCACATTTCAATCCTAGTTCCTAAACGCCCACAATTAATTTTGGCTGATCCGGAGAATATGAGACCCAAATTTGAGTATTTTGAATCTTTGGGTTTTGTCGGACCTGACTTGCATAGGATTCTTTGTTCATATAAATAGCAGTTTAGAAAACCGAATCAAACCCACATTTGATTTCCTTAAACGATACTTAAGGAGCAATGAGAATTTAATCTGTGCTGTTAGGCAATCTGTCAATTTCGTGCTGGGCAACGTACAAAAAGTTATGGTGTCAAACATTGACACCTTGCGGGCTCATGGTGTGCCTAAATCCCATATTGAAAAATTGACCATGAGGCAGCCTAGAGCCCTAATGTTAGGAGTTGATGTGTTTAAAGAGGTTACTGATGCAGTTAAGGAAACGGGTTTTGATCCCAGAAGTCAATCATACTGATGTATCAGAGTGTCGTATATGAAATGAAACATGGGTGATATAGACTTACAGGATTTGAAAGGGTTGACTGATTTGAATGTAGCCTCCGTCCCGAGCTTGTGTTAGATTACAGCGTAAAGATATTCTAACCACGTATAAGGAGGTAGCTCCAGAGGTACTCAAAGCGTTCAAGGGTGAGATAGGATTTCATGGATTCTAGGATTTCATGGATTCAATACTAGATTGTAGGACAATGCGGAATCAGAGAGGCGAGCAACAGCTAGATGTGAGTTTCTGGCAACAGCAGGGGACTAAAAAATTGTGTATGGTGTATGAGTTTCTATCAAAATGATTTGGCTGCATATAAAGTCTACCATCTAAGAAGTGATCCTCAAAGAATTTTTGGTGGCTGATAAAGTTAAAGAAGGGGTAAGATCACCTTGTATCTTGTTAAGATCACATTAGATTTCTCCGTCGGCTGTCACATCTTGAAATATTTCATGATTGTGTTTCTCATCTGTAATGTTATAATATATGCTCTAATTTTTAAAATATTGACAGCCGAAAGATTTGCTTCATAGTTATTATCTAGGTCTGCAGAATACTCATGTGGTGATTGTGATGGTTGCCGTATGAATTTACATATTATTTATACTGGTTTGGTGAATTGTCTTGTTTTACCAAAGAGAAGACTTGTTATTTATAAAGGGCAAGTGGTCAATTCCATATGTGTTTGATACCATATAGTTTGTAAAACCTTTCTCTCTGGATTTTGTGTGATTTCATTATGGTACTTAGTCTTGGGTGTTGTAACCTGTCTGTTTTTTCAGATATTATGTAAAATCCATATGTCTGGATTTAACTATATGTGTATGAGAGATCTATTAATATGCAATTGTCAAATAGAAGAAGAAACTCAGGGCTGACATTTTCTGATTAGTTGATTTTGAAGTTATATGCAGCCTGGTACGGACGGACGAGGAACAGCTTCATTGGGTCTAGAATATTTGAATTGAGGAGAAGTGGAAAACAGTCTCATGGATCATCTACGATTTGGTTTCAACACTGTAAAATGCTTTTTTTATGCAAATATTCCACAGGGCATTACCCACTGTATCTCCTGCTTACACCTGCTTGTTGGTTTTCACATTTATTAGTCCAATTTACCAAGTAATGACCCCGATATTATCTGTTTTCATCTCTAAATATGATCAGGTCTTTTGGGTACAACACGTATAACTCAGCAGTTATTATTCTACCTTCAGTTTTGATTATGATAGTATGATCAGTTATTCTTGTGGTAATATTCTCTTTTTTCTAGCTCACAAAATTTGTACCTGAATTGCAGTGTCCATGACATTAGATGTTGATATTTTATTTTGTGGATGAACTGACACGGCTTGACTTGACGCTGAATGTAACACACACACACTGACTGCAAGAGCGCACACAGAGGCACACACTGACTGCAAGAGCGCACACAGAGGCACAACCATTTAGACAGCCTAAATCCCTGCCTGCTTCAGATTTATATACTGCTTGGAGGAACATGATTGTTTATTGACAAGGAACTGGGTTATGTTGGGTTTCCACTATATAATAATGTCAAGGAAATGAAGATTCCAAAAAGAGGAAGTCCATTTTTGCTAGCTCTTCCTTCCTGAGGTATGTACCACTCACTCTTATCAGTATGTTTGAATATTACCTAATCATTCCATGAACTTACAAAGTTGTACGGAGTAGGATGCTGTATTCATAAATAGTTACATACTCTTGGACATAATGCAACATGCTCCGGTGCATAGTTGCATCTGTAAAAGCAAACATGCATGTAACCATCTAAAGGTTACTCTGGTGAAGGGGGTATGACTGGTTCATGTACATTTTATTATTCAGCAAACATGCATGTTTTGGGCACATTTATTATTCAGTGCTAATTATTTTCAGCCGGGATTAAAATTTAATTATGGTGATTTATCTTATTCTTGTAGTAATATTCTTTTTTTTTTTTTTTTTTTTTTTTTTTTTTTTTTTTTTTTCCCTAGGTCGTAAATAGTATAGAATGGTAATAAGGACAAGATGAACAGATTTTCTAGAAGTGCATGTGTGCATGACTAAAATACATTGACAGAGAAACCTTTTTCCTTCATTTTTGGAGTTTTTGTTGAGGTTAATCAGGATGAGTTATACCATAATGTTAGAGAACTAGACCAAAAAAAAAAAAAAAACCCTTAATTTTGCTATTTTCCTTGTGATGTTTCCTTCGAGACCTTTTCTTTTTCCCCTTTCTTTCTTTTCTGGTCCAACAAGTTACAGGAGGATTTTCATTTGGACAAGTTTTCGATAACCGGTGTATCCGGGTTTTTTTTCCAACTAATCCACTGGACACCAGGCAAAGTGCCCCCGGGTCGGGTAAATCTCGGGCTTTCACCCGCGGGCGTGGCTCTAAGGAATTATTTGCACTCAAGGAGAGTCAAACTTTAGAGTAGATGCTTCATGAGGCACCAGGGCAAAGTGATTTATTAATTTTTTTTTTTTTTAAGAAAGTTAAAACAATTATGAACACCCTTTTGGGGAGGAAGGGGTGATATGACTAGGCCAATTTGTCCTTTGGACTTCTATAAATTATGATGCACAATTTAATACCGTACTAGTTGCAATAGGGCTGACTCATTGAAAAGAAAGACAGTTTCCCTTCTCATTGGTTTCATTTCTGATATTCCCATTCCACAAATTTATCATTGTTCAAAATGAAAATTATGAATATTTTTTTTAAAAACATATGTTCCAAGTGGCTTTTTATTTTCAAAGGTGATAGTTTCTGAAAATGCTTGAACAGGCTGTCAAATGTTGGTGTTACCAGAATTTTAATTTTCTTTATTTATTTGGCTGTCAAATGTTGGTGTTACCAGAATTTTAATTTTCTTGTTTATTTATTTTAATTTTCTCTTAGAAAAACAAATTAAAGTGGACAGTTGAGACTAGTTGGTGTATTGTTTGTCCGAACAAAGTAATAATAATAATAAGAATAATAATAAATAAGAGGTAAAATATAAAAACTATAACATAGTTCGTGGCCCTAGCAGGAGTTGTAGGACCAAGATCATGATTTAAAAGAGAAGCAAGATTGTTATGGAAATTTTAAATTATAATATTACTCTTTATAATTATTAGATAAACTCATTATTAGTAATCTCTTTCTTCCCTTCTCTCTTAAAATAATAATAATAATAATAATAAAATTATAAAATGATATTTTTAACTTACCGATTTAATATTTCAAACTTGCAACACATTCCATCCGTATTTTCATTCAAAGCATAAAGCAACCGGATGCAAATACAAACAAGAATATAAAAATAAAAAAATAAAAATAGAATTACTTTGGACAAAAGTAAATTCTATTATGGAATTAATATTTGATTATATGGATGTATTCTTGACATTTAATCAAATGCCAAATAATCCCAATATTTCAAAAATTAAAAAAAAAAATTACATAAATAAAAATATTAAAACAACATTTCTTTTTCTCTTTTTACGGAAGAATGATTAAACCTGCTGTGGTTCGGTAATTCTCAGGTAACTAACAAGAATGGATACCGCAAGGAGGACGAGGGGAATAGTGTCGCCGGCACACCACGCTATGTCGGTTGCTTTGACATATGGGCTTCGGTGTCCATGTTTCAAATCCTCTATCCTCCGCTTCATGTCATCTATTAACCACCATGAAAGCAAACAATACAAACCGACAATGAATGCACCGACTACAAGGATAACCAATATGCCAACGAGTTCATCAACATACTTCTTTGCCATCCTTTCCACAAATGATCAATAAACAAAAAAGGATCCAGCATATATATATATACGCGATAAATTTTGAAGATTTTAAAACTCCTTAATTGTAACTTAATTTGTTTGGAATCAATTATTTTAGGATTTGCTCCAGTATTTATATGTTTGGAACAAGTTGGATTTAAAATAAAATTTTGAATAAAAATAATATAATACCATTTTTGCCCTTGTTTAAATAATAAATAAAATACACACATCAAAACAATGGTATTATTATATAGAGAACGATGAGCTGGTAGCATGCATTTAGTTAAATAAGAAAATGATAAACGAAACGTTAGAGATTGAGATATAGTAGTAGATATTTAATAGGATAGGGTTTAATAAGAAGAAGGGTTGAAGGGTTAATTAAGGAAATATATAATTAATGAATATTTATCCCGTGAAATCCTGGCGTTTTAGACTGGATTTGAAATGCAATTAAAAAGGGATTTCAACCATCTAATATTTTCCTTTTTAGTTTACAATTTACCAATTTAAAAAATTAAAATTTCTTTATCAACATTATCTCTTTTCCATTTTTTATTTATTTTTCAAGGCTTTTCAACATGAACGCTCATAACATTTACAGTGACAAATCATACTTTTGAAACACCCTTTAACAGTTAATAAAATTATGAAATTAATCAACAATAGTCATTATTTCTTGAACTATAACTAAGTAGTATTAAAAATTCCTAAAAATTACAATCTTATATCTTAAAGAAGATCTCTCAGACAAATCAACTCGTAAAGTATAATAACTATACCTTGAAAATAATTAATAAGAAGAAAATTTACAATTTTCTCATCATGTCTCTTAGAATCTTGAAGAAAATGATGTATAATATCCATCATCAGTTCTCTTCTATCTTGATCTTCTCTTCACAGACTCACCCTAATAATCTGTTGTTAAAAAGTAAGAGGAGTTTCAATATTTGAGTATTTCAATATTTATTTATAATATATTAAGGGACATAATATTGACATTCCATTTTTTTATAATTGTATTCCAATTTTAAAGGAATTGACACTTTTAATCTTAACTTTATAGATAATTTATTTTAATAAATCGGTGCAAATATCACTACTCATTTCATATATTGCAGTTATCTTCTTTAGAAATGAAAATATTTTTTTCCTTTCCCTGATCGGTCTCGATCTTTAACGTTTTGGGACCACTTCTTAAACAACCCCAAGCCTTCCTATTAAGAAACAACACAGTACAGTGTGTTTTTACGTAAAGAAAGTAGCTCTTTTAATTTTAATTTTACAAATAAGTAATTATTTATTTTTAAATTACACAACAACTACCCGTTCTAGATATGATTGGTCTCCCCTTCTCTCTCCTCTCACAACACTTGGTTTGTGTACCTTTTAACTAGTATTGAAATACCAGTCACTGCAACAAACACAATTGTTAACTAATTTTCGTCCCCTTTCTTATCATAGAAGCATAATTCACCCTTAATAGTTTGCAAATAAAATTTCAAAATCAAGAACATCAAATCGATGGCTTAAATTTGGGGTGTAATTAAATTTAAATTAAGACATTTAATTTAGGTCCAAAGTAGCCGTTCAATAGTTCCAAAGCAACATGAGTTAATAAAATTACTTTGAAGGAGGTATATCTCCATTTGGAATATTAATTATATCAATGTCTTCTTTTTTTTTTTTTTTTATTTTTTATTTTTCAGTTAAAGGATAAGTTTATATCAATGCATTCTTGACGATTAATTAGATGCCAAAATCTAAAAGAAAAAAAAAAAAATCCAAAAAAAGAAAGACAAAAAGATGGGATTACATGATATATATATATATATATATATATATATATATATATATATATGTATATATCATTCTCTTATGCTATGTTCGGTGGGAAAGAAAGAAGAAGTGTGGAGAGAAAATAAGAAGGAAAGAACAAATTTACTTTATTCGTAGAGTTGATATAAAAAAAGAAAAGAAAATAAGAAGGATGATACATCTTACATCTTTTCTCCTTTATAAATTTTCATCTCCTAAAAAATAGACAGAGGGAAGACAAGTGAATTATTATTGAAGTTTTAAATTAAATACTATCATAAATTATACAAATTTTAAATTACAATTATATCCTCTATATATTTTAATATTATAAATATTATTGAATATAATAAAAAAAATAATTAAAACTTTTTCTTTCCTTCTCTTTTAACTAATATAGTAATTTATTAATTTATTCTTTTTTATTTTATTTAATCGAAAAAAAAATACATAATCTCATGGATAAGATATTTGAATCGGGGAGAAGTAGAAAATAGTCTCATGGATCATCTGCAAATATTCCACAGGGCATTATCCACTGTATCTCCTGCTTACACGTGCTTGTTGGTTGTCACACTTCCACGGCTTTACTTGAGTCTCTCCTCCACAAAAACACACACTTCTACATGCGCAGAGACACAGGCACAACCAACAAGTTATAGAAGGATTTTCATTTGGACAAGTTTTCAATAATCGGTGTATCCGGGGTTTTTCTTTGACTAATTTACGGGGCATTGTGCAAGTGTAAAGTGCTGGTAAATCTCGAGCTTTCACCTACGTGGCTCCAAACCTTAGACTAGATGCTTCATGAGGTCTCTAGAGCCATGTAAGTTACCACTTGAGTCAACCCCTTGATTAATTTCATTCGGTCGAGTTGAACAAATACCATGCTTTTATTTAGTAATAGCGTTCTAGAATATGTTTGAATGACGAGATTCCTAATTTATACTCTGAGATCATCCTTTTGGTTTTACCCATTATTCTGCTCCCACAAAGATTAACCCGAAATGGAGATGATGATTTTGATCCACCTGCCCTGGCCGTCATGAAGTTGCTGGCCAAATCCGGCTACTAAATTTTCTTGTTTGTCCTTTTTTTTTTTTTTTTTTCTTTCTAACATTTAAATAATTATAGTTTTTTTACTGGTAGGTATTTTCTTAGACAATGTGTAGCTAGCTATTTCTTAGGTTCTATAGAGGTTACAATTACACTTGAACACTGCAAAAAGAAATTATTGATTGTCGGACGGTCTATGTAATGGAGCTTGGAAGAAGTCCTGTCACCGATCTCAAGTTGTATTATGTTTTTTCTATTTTTTTATTTTTTATGATAAGAATGTTGGGGATTAATTGTTAACGGGGACTAAAAGG